ACAAGCTTAAGGAACGTAAACAGACACCCATTACTTACCCCCAGGTCCTGGCCATGACTAAGGATATCGGCGCCGTTAAGTACTTGGAGTGCTCGACCCTCACAGGGGAAGGCCTTAAGGATGTGTTCAATGAAGCCGTACGTGCCGTCCCATGTCCTCAGGTCAAGCCTAATAAAAGGAAGCACTGTGTTGTACTTTAAGCAAGATCATTAATTTGACATTAACCCTTTACAGTATTTTAGCTATTTACAAACTAAATTATTAAAAATTTAAGTTTAAAAATACAAATTATACGATTTAATGGAGACATCTTATTAATAAATAATGAATTGCTTTGCTATATACACGAATAAAACATCATGGTATTTTTTAAAAGCAGAATATTTATACATTAATTCTATAAAATATAATTTAGATATTTATTTAAACTAATTTATGGAATCCATAGAGAAAAATCAAATTTTTATAATAGAGAAAGTATGAGTTGCCATTTATTAACACGGCTTTAATTGACAATATGAGAATAATGTCTAGCTACATTAGATAATAGTATTGGAGTAATATGGTAGTCCCATTGATTCAAGTTTATGTAATCACTGTTTGCATAATCGACTCATTCATATAATACGTACAATAAAACTAATAATTCATTGAAAACAGACAAGAGCAAATGTTATTGATTGCAGTACCTGGTTCAAATGACTTAAAAAAATAATTCACAGAAATCATTACTTTTATGACTTATTTTTCACATTTTCTAATTAATTTTCAACTTTTATATAATAAGTTTTCTTACATCCAACTCATATAAAATAAAATTGAATTTGTGTCTAGGTTTTGAGAATGTCATTACAAATGTCGTAATATGGCCATTTCTGGCCATCCTGCTTTTCTATGTTGAAAAGCATTGCATTAAATGTGTAGTCGTCGGGAACCGGTTTAATGACTGATATACAAAAATTAGTCACAAAAGGGATTTCCTGGAGATTCTCATTCAATTGCATTGCGAGCGTAGTTTTGTGCCACACTTTCTGGCAAAACAAATACATTTTTATAATGCGCTAGCACATTTCAGGACTACTTCTTGTTTAGTAGTCATTATCTCATTGAATATCAATTCAAATGAAATTATTTCTGTTGTGTTTTAGAGTCAGATAAATAGGCTTTTAAATATTGTAATTATTAATGATGTGCGAGTATTATAAATATTATAAGTATAGTGATTTTTGACTAACTTGTTGTAACTTTTTTATATCCCCTTATCGTTGAAACATAAGTTATTGATATGAATGCAATTAAGTGTGTACTGGTTGGTAACGGGTATATATTCATAAATTTTTATAATTAATACATATTTATTATTATATATTTGAAAGTAAAGTATACCCTACTTTGATTTGCACACTTTCACCTTTTTCAGAACTGTGGGTAAAACAAGTCTATTAGAGTGTTATACGACGGACAAACTCCTCGACGACCTCTGTTGGAGGGCCTATATTTGTGAACACTATTCCGCTAATGTGATGGTCGACGGAGAGTCCGTTAATCTAGATCTCTGGGATACGGCCGGTCAGGAGGACTACGACCGACTGCGACCCCTATCCTACCCAAAAACCGACGTCTTTCTCATATGCT